AAAAAAAAAAAAAACACAAGGGCTGAGTGCAAGGCCCTGAGAGCAATCCCTAGTACCATTAAAAAGGAAAAAAAAAAAAAGGGGCTGGGGTTTTGCTGCCTGCCTTGCAAGCACAAGGACTTGAGTTTGAACCCCGGTACCAAAAAAAAAATAACTTACATGGCCTGGGGATATACTTCAGTGGTAGAATAGTTGCCTAGCATTCAATAGGCCTTAGAGATTTGATCCCCAACACCACAAAAAAAAAAAAATAAAATAAATAAAATAGAGGAAAAGTCCATACCTTTTTACTTCCATTAAAATTGTGACTGTGCTTTTTTGATTGTAGCCCTGATAGCTTTGAGAATTACCATTCTTCCTATTTTTTTTTTAACTTAATCTGCCTTCCTTCTTTCTCCCTCACATTGTACCTATACTCTTACCTTCTTTACTGTAACCTACATTCAAAATATCTCCAAGAGGGCCAGGATTTAGCTCAGTGGTTCCACCGCCTGCTTCACAAGCGCAAGGTCCCAAGTTTGATCCCCGGTACCACACACACAAAAAAAAAAAATCCCCAAGAAGCTGGGTGTAGTGGTACATACCTGTAATCCCAGCATTCTGGGAAGACGAGGCAGGAGAATCACAAGTTCAAGCCCAGCTCTAGGAGGTTAAGTAAGGCAGGAAAGTCCCAAATTTAAGACAAGCCTAGAAAGGGTGATGCATGCCTATAAACCCAGTACCTGGGAGACTGAGGCAGGAAGATCACTCTGAGTTCAAGGCCAGCTGCTGAACTACAAATTGAGACCCTGTCTCAAACCAAAAAAGTAAGATGAGCCTAGAAAATTTACAAGTACTGTTTCTCAAACTTTATTTTTGGGGTGAGGTAAAAAAACGGGGTCTTGGCCAGGCATGGTGGCGCACGCCTGTAATCCCAGCACTCAGGAGGCTGAGGCAGGAGGATTGCTATGAGCTCGAAACCAGCCTGGGCTACATAGTGAGTTCCAGGTCAGTCTCAACTACATAGTGAGACCCTGTCTCAAAACAAACAAACAAACAAACAAAATGGGGTCTTGCCATGTAGTTCAGGCAAGCGTGAAATTCACTATGTAACACAGGCTGGCCTCAAAGTCATGGCAATTCTCCTGCCTCAAGTCTGACCTAGTGCTGGGATTACAGGCGTGTACCAACACACCCAGCCCTCTTCTCAAACTAAAAAAAAACAACTATAAGATGAAACATGTTCTCCTACACTGAGACTGCGTCCTACTTTATGCGGTGTCCTCTAGCCAGTTGCTTACTATACTTTCTGTTTCTGTTACCTGTTTTTACTGCTCACTGTATAATGAGGACATCATTCCTTAAGATCACCCCCACCCTCCAGAGAGGAAAGACCAATTTTATGCCTTACCTGGCTTTTTGCCACCATAGAAATGAGTGTATTCAGCACAGGTAATGTACCTGAAGGAGAAAAGGAAAGAAAGAATGTTACCACTGCTCCTTTACAGAGAAGATCGAGTTTTGGAATAAGTGAGGATGCAATCTTCACTCATTTAGCAAACATTTCTCAAGCACAGGCATTTGTCAGGCACACAGTGCTAAACAACAGCCTGAAGAACACACAAACTGGTAAATAAATACCAACAGCCTTACTTTCCTGAGAAAATAACTGGATTTATCGGACAAGGAAGCCAAGCATGGTGGTGCACACCTGTAATCCCTGCACTGGGAATCTGAGGCAGAAAGATTGATTCAAAGTTCAACCCCAGCTTAGGCAACTTAGCAAAACCTTGTTTCAAAATAAAAAAGAAGGGCTGGGGATTTAGCTCAGTGGTTCCACCTCCTGCCTGGATAGTACAGGGACCCGACTTCAATCTCTGAACCGTAAATAAATAAAAAATGAAAAAGAGGGCCGGGGATTTAGCTTAGAAAGAAAGAATAAAAAATAAAATAAAATGAAGGTGCAGCTCAGCATGTAGGTCCTAGGTTCAATCCCACGTTTGCTGAAAAGGAGGAAGACATGTACCGATCGGGGAGAAGAGCTTCACAGCCACAGCACACAGAAAAGCCGAGATGAGATGTCACTGGGCAAGGACGTGGAAGCAGATGAAAAACTCTGGGTCTAGGGGTCCAGGAGACAAAGGCCAAGCAAAAAGAACTATGAGAGGCCCCTTGAAGGACATGGAAAACAAAGAGTATGGGCCCGGGGATTTAGCTCAGTGGTTCCACAGACTGCCTCACAAAAAGGACCTGAGTTCGACCCTCAGTACCGGGAAAAAAAAAAAAAAAAGAGTATGTGGAACCCCAGCTATCAACCAAAGGTTTCAGAAAGGAGTAGCCACTCTTGTTTTCGAGAAGTTTAACCAAATGAAGATTAAGAGGTACGCGAAAGTCAAGGGTATCCTCACAACCAGCCCAAGGGTTTAATCAGTAAGCCTAGCTACTCGGGGTGCTGAGGCAGGAGGATCACAAGTTCCAGGCCATCCAGGGCAACCTTACAAAGACCCTGTGGATGGATGGATGGATGGACAGACAGACAGACAGGGCTGTAGATGGTGTTCTGTGATAGAACACTCCTGTGTCCAATCCTCAGCACTGGGGGGAAGAGGGGCAGCATCACAAGAGCAGGGTGAAAATCTGCGGTGGTTTGGTAGACAAAGTTTTGCCATGTTAGGAAAAGAATCAAGAAAAAAACACCGTTGACTCTAGGGGATCCTGGAGCACAGCCGGCTTTCACCGGAAGACTGCAGCAAGTGTGGGCCGAGGGGCATGGATCAACACACACGCCCTGGAGGTGCAGGAGAGGTGCCGCAGAGGCTACCAAAGCGAGGGCCAGGCTCGCGAGTGGGTGTCTGAGCGCCCGGAGAAAGAAAGGAGCCCGCGCTAATGGAGGAAGGGACGCTCGGGACGGGTTCTGAGGCAGACGCGAAGCTGAGGTGCGGCGGGACACTGCTCTGGCTGCAGCTGAACTTACATCTTGTCCTTCTGGTGCTGTCGTTTCCCCATGGCGGCGGCGGCACAGGCTACACACGCGGGAAAACGAGGGACAACGACTCCGACCCCAAACCTCCTCCGTTTCTCGACGACTTCCGGGCTCTTGTGTCCCGCCCCGGAAGCTGGCGCTCGGCATGCTGGGACATTGCACGCGGCGTGCTCGGGGCGGCCCGGGCCCGGTCCGTGCTGCGTCCCGGCGTGCATCTGTGTGCGCCTGCGCCGCTGGTCGTTTGTGTATTTGACTTGATCAGTCTGTATTTTGACCGTGGAGAGGGAGAGGGCTGCCCTTTTTAGTTATTTTGGAACAGGCTGGCCTTCCGCTCGTGAGCCTCCTGCTTACACTCTGTCTGCTCCTCTTCCATTCTCCGAGCACTTGTGCCTCAGCATTTGCTCCTCACTTTCCTCCGGGCGCCCCAGTAACCCGGGGAAAATTGAAAAAGCCTGGAGACCCAAAGCCCTCCCTGGCCCCTTAAGTCTCTTCTGCCCCAAGAGTTCATTTCGGTGCCCTGACTGGGCTTCCCAGGACTCATGTTTGTCACTGTTTTGGGGATGGGGATTTATAGGTTGCTGAGGATTGAGCCCAGGACCTCATGCCTGTTAATTACAAGCTCATTTTCTGTCGTGATTGAGGTTTTATTGGTCATGTTGAGCATCAGGACAGACATTTCACTTTGTACACAATTTTTAACACACCTACTGAAAATCTAAAAAGCTATGTACAATACCATGTTTCTTTTAAAGTTATCACAGTGACTTTCCACCTTCAAATTGGGAGGCTAATTTTCTTAAAGAGGATATGTAGTACCAATACCTTCAGATGTTGATGAACTGGTACCTAAGTTCCACCAATTCACAATTTCATAGCATATATACTATGTACTCACACTTTCGAATTTTTTTACAACACATTGACAAAATTATTAGGGAAACTGAACTACCGTGACCGAATATTATAGAGTGTGATCCTGTCAGGACCACAAAGAGTGATTTTCTTTTAGGGGACAAGGTCTCTGTATTTCAGGCTGGCCTTAAACTCACTATATAGCTCCAGCCACCCTTGAACACATGGCAGTCTTCCTGCCTCAGCCTCCCAAGTGCTGGGATTACAGATGTGTCACACTCAGCTAAAGAATGGTTTTCTTTAGGAAACAATTTTACTAGAAACATAGGAATAGAACTAATTTAAGGAGGTTTGCTGGTCTCCTTACGTAGTTCAGGCTGGCCCTGAACTCACCGTGTAGCCCAGACTAGCCTCAAACTCACAGCGATCCTCCTGCCTTCGTCGCTGAGTGTGAGGACAAAGGCCTGTCAGCACACCTGGAAGACACGCGGTTTTAAACACTACTTGTGTGACTCCCAATGCTAGATAGGCAGCATTCTAGATAGTTGGCCTCCATCTGGGCAAGGTGCATGTGTAACACATCTGCTCAAAGCAGAATCCACACCTCCACACACTCTCTGCTTAATAGAATAGCACTGCCATCCACCTAGTCGCTCAAAGCCAGTTGTCTTTGCCTTTTCTCACAGTTGACTTCTTAGCTTACTTCATTGTTTAATCTTCTCTCTCCCTCTCTCTCTTTCCTTCCTTCTCCTTTATTTTTGGTTTGCTTTTCAAACAAGGTTTCGCTAGGTAGACCAGTTTGGCTTTGAACTCATGACCTCACCACCGTGACATCTGGAGCGCTGGGATGACAGGTGTAATCCCTAGGTTTCTACAAATGTCGCCTCTTCAGAACTTCCCTGACCACCTGACACCATGTATCTCCCCTGGGGGTCACACTTTGCAATCCTATAGTTTGGTCTCTAACTGGGGATTTGGCTCAGTGGTACCGTACCTGCCTGGTAAGCACAAGGTCCTGGGTTCAAACCCTGGTATTGAAAAAAAAAACTGATCTCTGTACTGTACTCACACACACACACACACACACACACACACACAAGTGCGTGTGAGACTAGGGTGTAAGTCTCTTCGGGACAAACAAGGGTCTCAACAGCCTGGTTTATTGAACACAAGTGCGTGAGACTAGGGTGTAAGTCTCTTCGGGACAAACAAGGGTCTCAACAGCCTGGTTTATTGTCTGTGGCCCCAGGCAGGCAGGAGGCAAACACCAGAGCTCAGTGGCTATCTGCTCACATCCAGTGATTACGGAGCATTTAGTAAGGAGACATCTTACGTGCAGATTGGGTCCTCAGGCCTACATGTGAGGTGACACTAACAGCGCCATATCTTTGAAACTCAGTAGGAAGGGTAAGTTGGAAACTGACAGCCTCGCTCATTTTCCTACAGGAAGAAACAGGTCACTGTTTGCAAAGCCTCACAACAGATAAGGCCTAGGGAAAACATAGACTTGCAACTCTGTGGGGTCAAGAGAGGCCCAGAGGGGTCAGGGACGGCACTCTCCACCCTGTCTTCCTTCTCAGGGTGCACAGTGTGTGGGAAGGGACACACAAGGCGCCGTCAGGCCCAGGGGCGCAGGCGCACACAGCACAAGGGAAGAGGCATCTCCGGGAGAACTTTATTCATTCCTTAGGCCCTGGTCTGCAGGAGAGGTCATGGGCTCCTCTCATGGGCCTTGGACTCCGCACTGTCATTCTCCGAGTCGCCTTTGGGTCTGGGAACGGGCTGGTACTTGCGGAGGCCAGGCGGAGTGAAGAAGGACGTGTTCACAGCACAGACCACGGTCTTTTCAGAGCTGGAGCAGCCACTGCAGGCTGAGGTCCTGCATGGGACACAGAGGCGGGACTCTGGGACCAAAGGGCACACGGGACAAGGCCCTCGGACGAAGGGTGTCTGGATACATTGCTACTTCCACAGACCTCTCCACGGAGTGTGATCAGGGCGGTTCATTCATCAGTGCTCGACTGTTCAAAAAGAAAAACCCTGGACCCATCTAAATGGTCATGAGAGGATGACCAAAGAACCATGGTACAGCCATGCAGAAGACTATTCTGCTGCTGTTTAAAGGAACACAGGAAATACCCAAACAAGTAAGGACATTCCAATGGGGTTTTGTTTTCCTTTTGGTGGGGGGGTACCAAGGATTGAACTGTGCTTGCAAGGCAGGCAACAAAACCAGAGCTAAATCCTTGGCCTTTTCCCCGTGGTTTGGTTTGGTTTTTTTTGAGGCAGGGTCTCACTATGTAATTGAGACTGACCTGGAACTCACTATATAGCCCAGGCTGGTCTTGAACTCATAGAGATCCTCCTGCCTCAACCTCCCAAATGCTGGGATTACAGGCATCGCAACCACAGCTGGCATCCAGTGTTTTTTTTTTTTTAATGTATGGCTTTTACACGTGATATGATAGTTAAAAGTTAACTATTGTTAGGTTGTCTGTAATCCCAGCACTTGGGAGGCTGAGGCAAGAGGATCACAAGTTTGAGGCCAGCCTAGGATCCATAGAAAGTTTGAAGTTTTTTGATCCCCGGTACCAAAAAAAGTTTGAGGTTAGATTGGATTATGTAGCAAGATCAACTCAAAATAAAAAGATTAGTGTATTTGTGTGTTGGCAAGACCCTGTCTCAAAAAAATTATTAACTACTGCATTTTTAAGTATGTGTGGATGTACAGACAAAATATTTGGAAGAGTACACAAAAATCTCTTAGCAGCAGGGCTCTTTTATTCTGTGTATTTGCTTCTGTACTGTGAACTTTTCCCCATAGAATTTTTTTTCTTTCCGTGCTGGAGACGAAACTCAGGGCCTTGAGTGTGCTGGGCAAGTGCTGTATTTCTGAGGTACACCTTTATTTTTGTTTGTTTGTTTGTTTGAGACAGGGTCTCACCATGCAATTCAGGCTGGCCTTGAACTCACTATGTAGCCCAGGCTGGTCTCGAACTCACAGCGATCCTCCCGCCTCAGCCTCCCAAGTGCTGGGATTATAGGCATGTGCCACCTTGCCCAGCCTGAGGTAGAGCTTTAGCCCCTAAACATTTTTAAACCAATTAAAAACAAACCATTTTTGAAGGAAGCTTCTCCACTGTTGGTGGAATATAGATGGGTGCAACCACTGTGGAAATACCTAAAAACTAAAAGTAAAGGTTCCATTTGACCCAGCTGGTCCCCTTCTTGGTATCTTCCCAAAAGAATTAAAAGCATCCTACCACAGTGATATATGCAGACGCATGTGTATAGTGCCACAGTCTGTAATAGCTGTATCTTGGAAACAGCCCACATGCCCATCAACGGATGAACTGATAAAGAGTGGATCTGATGTGGAGTACTAGTCTGCCATAAAGAAGGATAAGCTTGACACACCTCTAGCTAAATGCATGCACCTTGAGGCCATACTTTCTTTTTTTTTTTTTTTTTTTTTGGTACCAGGGATAGAACTTGGGACCTTGAGCTTGCAAGGCAGGTGGTGGCACCACCGAGCTAAATCCCCGGCCCGAAGAACATACTCAAGTGAAATAAATCAGATACGTGTTTAAATACCACATTTTTTCTGTGGTGTGAGAAACTGAAAGTGGAAATAAGGACCAAAACGTGTAACAGATGTTGGGAAATGGGAAGAAAGTGTTCAAATGGGCAGGGGAACAGGGAGGGGTTAGGAGAAAGGAGAGGGGACGAGAAAAATAAGGAACAGAGAGAAAAAATGGAAACAAAGTTTTTATAAAGAGGGGAAGAGGGGCTGGAGTGGGGGGAGAGAAAAAGAAGCAGGTATATCACGTACAGATGCAAACTCCCCATGGTGAGTGCCATCGTTATGTAGATCTAAATATACCAGTACGTATTTTGACAAAAAATTTTTTTGGTGATAGCATCACTGACACCACAGCTCATTCAGAAAGCAAAACGTACCAAGAGCCTAAAATTATCCCTGTCACTAATATTTCAACAGACAAGAACAGCTGGGAAAATGACGTCCCATCTATATGATGAGTATTTTGCATCTTTTTTTTTTTTTTTTTTGTACCAGGGCTCAAACCCAGGTCCTTGCCCTTGAGGCAGGTGGCGGCACCACTGAGCTACATCCCCGGCCCTTGCAGCTGTTCCTATTGGTGATCTTAAAGATATATTTAGTGACATGGGTGGAAACTCACAAGCTGCAGCTGGTTACAGAACAGGACGCTCTCAAACTCAATTATATAACAAACTATGTGCACACTCGCAACCTACATGAAAACAGAAATATGTGCACAGTGGTTATTTCTGGAGGTAGGAATAGGTGTGATCTGGTGAGTTTTTTTCTGTGGCTTCCCATTGGCTACAGTAAATTTATTGGCTCAGTGCCCAGAACTGCAAAAAGAAAAAGCTCTACCTAAAACTGGGTGTGGTGACGCACACCTGTGATCCCAGCACTCGGGAGGCTGAGGCAGGAGGATCTCTGTGAGTTGGAGACCAGCCTGGGCTACACAGTGAGTTCCAGGTCAGTCTCAACTACATAGTGAGACTCTGTCTCAAAAAACAAAAGAAAAAAGAAAAAGTTCCACCTAGAAAGAACTAGAAAAATAGTGATGACCACAGCCTTGTTCTGTGGCTGACTGCTCTGTGCTGTGAGGATCTGATGATGCTAATGCTTTACTTTGAAATTTTGCTTCGTAATAATATTGTGGAAAGTGCTTCTCTGTCACCCAAAAATCAGTCACCTCCCCATCTTTCCACATCACCGTCTCTTGATCTGCCAGTCTATTCTTTCCACTTGGATGTAATTTGTGAATTACATGGTCAATGTTTAATCATAATTTTTTTGTGTGTGTATGGCAGTTCAGACTGAACTCAGGGCCTTCCTATTGAGTTGCATCCCCAGCCCTTTTTCTATTTGCTATTTTGAAACAAGTCTTGCTAAGTCACTAAGTTGCCCAGGCTGAGCTCGAACTTGTGATCCTCCTGCCTCAGCCTCCCAGAGTTCTGGGATTGCAGGCATGGACCACTTCACATTTATAATTTTAAGTTACATAGCCAGGCAGCACATGCCTGTAATCCCAGCACTCCGGAGGCTGAGGCAGGAGGATTGCTGTGAGCTCAAAGCCAGCCTGAGCTACACAGTGAGTTTAAGGCCTGTCTGACCTACACAGTGAGATCCTGTCTCAAAAAAAAAAGGGCCGGGGATTTAGCTCAGTGGTTCTGCCACCTGCCTCACAAGTGCAAGGTCCAGAGTTCATTCTCCTGTACCAAAAAAAAAACAAAGAGTTAAAAAAAATTTTTAATTACATATTCCTGGAGCTGAGGATGTAGTTCAGTGGTACAGCATCTGCCTGACAAGCATGAGGCCCTGAGTTCAACTGCTGGTACCAAAAACATTTTTTTAACTATTAAATTACATATGCACATCTGTACAGCCCACATCCATAATCCCAGCACTGGGGAAGCTGAGGCAGGAGGATTGCTGTGAGGTCAAGGCCAGGCCGTGCTACATAGCAAGACCGTCTCACCCCTCCCGACAAGTCAGTTACATAATATTCCATAACTATGAATGCATACAATTGTTTCTAGGTTTTCTCTGATGTTGCCATGAATATTTTTATACAAATAGCTTTTTCCTTTTCCTTTGGGCAGCTTCCAGGCCTGTATTTTTATTGTTCTAATACGCCCAGCCGGATTTGCTAACACTGGATCAAAGACATCTGTGGCTCCTGAGCACACTAAGCACACGGCCCCAGTGACTACGTCCCTAGTCTTTTATTTCCAACTGTGCAATTCAGAGGTAGCATGTGTTAGTGCCTAGTACCCTTCTGGGTATGGTGATGTCCCTCATCGAGATACGTCACATTTTGCTTATTCGCCTTTTACAATTGGACTGTTTTTCGCCTTTTGAGATTGTGAATGAACTTGAACATTCATGAACAAGCATCTGTTTGAATCCGTTTTCTATTCTTCAGGATTTTTACACAGGAGTGGAACTGCTGGATCCTAAGGGACCTCTGTGATCACCATTTTGAGGAACTGCCAAGCTGATTTTTAGTGACCACGTCACTGTATCTTACCATGATCCACACACAGGTTCCAATTTCTCTAAATCCTCATCAACGGCTGTCATTGTCTCTTTTTGTGTGTGTGATACAGAAGACTGCACCCGGAGTCTACACTAGGCCAACTTGGCACTCCTCCTGCCTCAGCCTCCCAGCATGCTGGGATTACAAGTGTGTCACCACACCTGATATATCATTGTCTCTATTAGAGCCATCCTAATTTATGTGCTGAACATCAATTTTGTTTTTTGGTTTTTTGAGACACGGTCTCACTATGTGGTTGAGACTGACCAGGAACTCACTATGTAGCCCAGGCTGGTCTCGAACTCCCAGTAATCCTCCTGCCTCAGCCTCCCGAGTGCTGGAATTACAGGCGTGCGCCACCATGCCCGGCCCCCTCACTTTTGTTTTGACTTACAGTTTTCCCAGTGACTAATGATGTTGAGTATCTTTTCAGGTTTAGTGGCCATTTATTTGCATATTTTCTTTGGAGAAATGTCTTAGTATCTTTTGTTTGGGGGGGGGGTACCGGGGATTGAACTTGAGGCCTTGCACTTGCAAGGCAGGCGGCGGAACCACTGAGCTAAATCTCCGGCCCTCTTTGGAGAAAGGTCTAATCAAATCCTGTGCCTCCCTCCCTCGGGTTGTAGGGTCTTACTGTCTAGTTCAGACTGGCTTTGAACTCACCTAAGTAGCCCAAGCTGGCCTTGAAGTCTCAGTGGTCTTCCTGCCTCAGCCTCCCTAGTTCTGGGATTATAGGCATGCACCACCACAACTGGCACAATTGCCACAATATTTACTTGTGTTGCTTTTCATTTTTGAGATGATATATACAGAAGTTTCTCCCATTGTGGGTTTTTAGATAGGATCTCACTATATTACACAGGCTGGTCCTAAATTCCTGGGTTCAGATGATTCTCCCCGCTCAGCCTCCCAAAGAGCTGGACCTATAGATGTGTGCCACTGCTTGGTGCTGGATGCAGAACACCCAGGACTTCATTCGTGCTATACAAGTACTCTACCTCCCAGGCACTCTTCTTTCTGAGACTGAGTCTCGCTACGTAGCTCCGGCTGGCCCCCATCTTGCACCAGTCTTCCTGAGTGCGGGGATAACAGGTGTGTGCCCGCACACCCAGACCCTCTTCCTTTCGAGGTGGTGCAAATGTTCCAAACCGGATGATGAGTGGCTTGCACAATTCTGAATATACCAGAGCGCCCTGGACACTAAACAGATGGTATGGTACTCAGCTTTAAAAAATGTTCAAAGGAAGAGAAAGGGAAGGAGGAAAGGAGAAAGTGAGCAAGAGAAAGAAAAAGAAGGAAAACAGGAGGAGGAAAGGAAGGAAGGAAGGGACTGAGACCAGCAGCTCAGTGGCACCACAACTGTCCAGCATGCTGAAGGCCCTTGGTTCAATCTCTAGCTTGGGGCCGTGTGGAAGACTAAGTCAATCTGGTAGTACTGTATTTCCACAGCCAAAGAGTCTTCCAAACACTCTGTAAGTATCGTCCTCACACACTTTGGCTTCTCGACGGGTATTTACCGCTCGTCCTAGCCATCTCAACACGCTTCTCTTGAACTCTCTGGAGGACGGACATGTCATTAACAGGTGTCTCCACCCACAGAATGGACACTACCGAGCACGGGCCCTACGGCAGACCAGGGGCTTCGGAGTTCACGCGTCAGTGTATGTCCGTCAACATACAACATGCACAGCAGCCCCCTCTGCTCTCTGCTTTCCCTCGTTAACAGTAGGGGAGGCTGCATGTAAGTAGGGGCAGAGGGTTATGGGAATCTCCACTTTCTGCTCAATTCTGCTGGTAACCTAAGAACTGCTCTGAAGAGTAAAATCTGTTTTACCAAAAAAAAAAAAAAAAAAAAAAACGTAAAAAAAAAAATATTATAAAAAAAAAAAAAAAAAAAAAAAAAAAAAAGTCATGCAATAAAGCCAGCCATTATAAATACTTTGGATTGGGCCGGGGATTTGGCTCGGGCCGGGGATTTGGCTCAGTGGTTCCGCCGTCTGCCTTGCAAGAACAAGGACCCGAGTTTGATCCCCAGTACCCAAAAACAGAAAACAAAACAAAACTTTCAGATTAACATTTAACAACGTGGAAAATATGTAACAACCTTGTAAGTGGAAAAAGCAAGTGATTTTTTTTGTCTGTTTTTTGAGATAGGGTCTTACTATGTAGTCGAGGCTCACCTGGAACTATGTAGCCCAGGCTGGTCTCAAACTCAGTGATCCTCCTGCCTCAGCCTCCCGAGAGCTGGGATCACAGGCGTGCGCCACCACGCCTGGCTAAAAGCAAGTGATTTTCAGAAACCCATATTCAATGAACCCCTGCTTTGCAAAGCACAGTGTCACCTTTACAAACACTGGGAAGGGCATTACTTTTTTTGGCACCCCTGATTACATTCAGGGTCACTCCTAAGTGAAATGGACATCACACTGAAAACTTCTTGGCCTTGACGCATACTCCCATGACGCCCAACGGAGGTGCAGGGCAGAGCACCCTGGGGCTGCACAGAGTCACGCTGCTGGCCTAGAGAGGCACAGAGGCTTGCTTACCAGGGGAAGCCGGAGCAATGGAGCTTGTGTGGACTGTGTCTAGGCAAGTAGGAGAGATGGAAGCCTCTGCGATTGAGGACCAAGGGGGTCAGATCAATCATGTGGCTGTAAGACAGGGCAGAGACGGGATGTCAGCCCTGGGTCCTTCCAGGGAGTGCACTAAGTGGACTGCAGGTCTGTGACACCGGCCCAGAAACTCCTACACGCAGAGCCCAACGCCTCCCCTGGGAAAGGAGGGCAGTGAAGATGGTGGTAGAGTTAAGGGGTGTGGACAGAGCAGCAACCGAGTCTGGCTGCAGGACACCCGCCCCCACGCCCACCCCGCCGCCGCCCAGGCTCCTTTCCCTTTCCCTTGAGGCCAGAGTAGATCCCGTCCACCTCTTTGGGTTTGATGACAGACCGTTCCAGTGCAGTTTCACTTCAGACCTTGAGATGTCCAATTTCTCCATCTGCAGGAAAGAAAGGAGAGCTCAGGACAAGTGTGGGGCCCTGACCTTGCAGAACCACCCTTCTAGGAGACAATGTTACTGCCATCCGTTCCACAGGTACATCAGTGCTTTCTGAGCCTGGCGTTTTAGGGATAAGATGGTAGCTGGGAGCTGACTAAGGAAACCCCGGTCCAGCCTGGGGGATGGAGAAGTGGCCAGAACTGGAAGAGTAGGCACAGCAGGCGTGGGACAGCGTGGGGTGACACCCACAGGGAGAGGTGAGTGTGGCTTCAGATGTGGGAGGCCTACAGTTCTGCCTGTCCGCCAGGAGCGCCAGGATACAGTCCAGGGTACCCAGGGCTGCCTCGCATGCCTGAGGCCAAGAAGGTGGACTCCGTGCCCTCCACCTCCACCCCAACCCTTCACACAGGACAGCCCCCTTTCATCGGCTCTCCCCACGGCTGCCACCCAGCATCTTGTCTGCAGAGGGGTCTGCAGAGGCCACGGGCCCAGCAGGCACAGTGGGGACTGGCTGGGGTGGAGGACCTTCCCACGGACCGGCTTGCTAGGGAGCGGAGGGAAGGGGCCAAAGACCCTGGGTGTGGTGTAGACAGGGGGTGACAGGGCCGCGACAGAGGTCGTGCTGGTGACAGGTGGTGGCAGTGATGGCAGTGGAGGAGGTGGCAGCAGAGTTGGCGGTAGACATGGAGAGGTCGACCGGTCGTGTAGGAGGATGGGTTCTGGTTTCTTCAGTTTGAATTTTCTTCTCTTTTTCTTGGCACCTGTGACAAAAAGTGCTAAGCGTGTCTCCTCGTGCCGGAGCAGGGCAGAGTGGGGCTCCACACGATGTTGTGGGGTCTTCACAACTTCCCTCCAGCAAGGAAGGGAGGAAAGTGCTCACACACCACCAGGGACAAACCTTAGACCACCAGAGAGGCATCGGCATGCACTATCTCACCAACCCTCAGCCCCACGGAGAAAGAGGATTTTTGGCTCTATTTTCCAGGTAGAACCAAGGCCTCTGTACAGGCAGAGACAAGATCCACACTGGGTTGTCTAACCTCAAGGGCAGAATTTCATGAGAAGTGACAGCGTGTTGGCTTGCTGCTCACTCCCAAGCAGTGTGGAAAGCTACGTCTGCCAACAGCAACAAAAGGAAAGCAGGCCCTAGGGAGTAACTCGACCTGCCTATACCGAGCCCCTGGCCGTTCTGGGGATGCAGGAAGGGCACTTCCTCTATGAGGACGTTTTGCAGAGGTGGGATCAGGAGGGCATCTTTTCTCTTTTAGGCTTTCCTACTACTCTGGTCAATCTGGCTAATTTTACTGTTCTAAGTTAGAGACAAGCAGCCAAGTGGGCATTATGATGACTTTATACAGCCCACCACAATGGCTCACCTATAATGATAATAGCTACCATTCAGCACTGGCCAGGAGCCTAAGAGACCAACTCAGACCCAAGTCCACATCCACGATCAGCCACAATGTGACTCTGCACGCGTCAGCTCCCGTTGCACACTTGTGCCTCTACTTCCTCTTCTGTACAACAGGGGTAAAGAACCTCAAAGCTATGCAGGACAACAGGTGCTACTGACTCAGCCGTCACATGAGCTGGTGACACGGAAAACGCACATGCAGTGACACGGAAGCGTGGACTCTCCCCACCCCGGGGTACCTGAGCCTCCCAGTGGGATGCAGAAGGAACTGCCCTCACTCGAAGGTCTCATGTCACCCCACACAAACACAAACTGGCCTCCTGAATCCAGTCGGGGCCTCAGGGCAACTACCTCAGAAATACAGGAAGGCTCATCAACAGATGTAACACAAAGGCGGGATACCCAGAGGATATCTGGGTTTAAGAGAAAAAGAGAGGAAGTAGGGTCATCCCACCTCCAAGCAGGCTTCAACAGGAAAGACCACAGGTCTACACCTGCCATCCTAGTGTGATCACAAGTGTCCCAATATGGACACAAATTATATGGTCACCCTAGTGAAAAAGGAACCTAGTGAAAAAAGAAGCCAGACACAGTGGAAACACCTGTGATCTCAGCACTCCAGGAGGCTGAGGCAGGAAGTTCACAAATTTGAGCCCAGCCTGGGCATCTTTGTGACATAGCATGATCCTGTGAATGAAAAAAAAGAAAGAAGAAAAAAATGAGGACCCCGAGTTCAACTCCCAGTTCCTTTCAAACAAAACACCTAAGAAGCCTACTACTCACAAACAACGTGTAGGCTTCCCTGGATACTGAAGTAACAGATAAAATACAGAAAGAATTTAGTAGAGCATCAAAATGTGATTATGGGCTAAACGTGTTACTAATATGAGGGCACTGTGAGTTGTGTCGAATATAACAACAACATGGTGATTATGTCAGAAAATATCTACTTTGTGATATGGGGGACTGAGGCCACAGTGTCACACATGCTACCCAAGCACTCTAGCACTGAGCTATATCCTTAGCCTCTTCGACTTTGAGACAGGGTTTTCCTAGTTGCCCCCAGGTTGGCCTCAAACTTGCTATCTGCCTGCCTCAGCCTCCCAAGCCACTGAGATCACAGGTCTGCAACACCATGACAGGTGAAAATGGTTTTTTTTTATAAATTAAGATGCATGCGGGGCCGGGGATTTAGCTCAGTGGTTCCGCCATCTGCTTCGCAAGCATAGTCTGGAGTTTGATCCCTGACACACACACACACACACACACACACACTCAAAAAAAAATTAAAATGCATGTGGCCATATGGGTGTAGCTAGTAGTAAGAGTGGTGCCTAGCATAAGCAAGGACCTGGGTTCGAGCTGCAGCACAAAAAAAGAAACAAAACCGTGCTGGGACACTCGTGGCCTGAGCTTTGAGCCTCACCCCGGGCATACAGGTGCACACGGAGGATGCTCCTCTTCAGTTGCTTCAGGCGCTGGACCATCTCCTGCGCGCCCATGCTGTTGCACAGGTTCAGGGGCCCTTGGACCGCACTGAGGAACTTTGCCTGCAACAGCATCGGGAGAGGCGGGGCAGGAGGAAGCCCAGGGAGTCACGGGCGGGTCAACTACCCACTCCACTCCCCAGGCCTGGCGGCCTTGGGCTTCTGCAAGACCCCACCTGCAGCCTGAGCACAGCCCGAGGGTGCTGTTCCCACCCGCCCCAGCTCGGCACAGCCCGCACCCAGAGGAAGGAGAGGAGCCCGCGCCGCTCGCACTCGGCCTGCTTGCTCTTGCGCAGCACTCTCTCTGCCAGCACGGGGTCGCGGTCCAGGGTGTGAAAGAGGCGGCGCAGCGCGCTTTCCGTGTAGGTCGTCGCCTGCCTCTTGAATTCCGCTACGGAGATGAGCTGGCAGAAGGTCACGGTATGGGGGAACTCGCTGTCAAACTCCTCCAGGACCTCCATCCGAGAGGCGCTGCTGGTAGCGGAGCGGCCGTCGGGGCCAGACTCCCGAGTCCCGAGG